TGTCTTTGGAAATAACTAAGCATTCTGTCAGTATGAGAACACTACTTAAGACTCATTAGCTATATAGTCTTTTTCAGGTTATACAAACAGCCAGATCTCAAAGATAAGAGTTTTGAAAACACACAAAACCAGGAACCACAATGGGTATGTAATTTTAACACTTTGGTAACAGTTGGCTGTCACTTTCCTCTTTTGCTTTTACATCTACTTAGATGCCAAAGAGAGTCCACTAAATTTAATAAAATGCCCAAAGAGTTCATTGATATAAAATGTGAGACTTAAGTGAGGCAGGTCAATTACTAACACAGCAGAATTACGTCCCTGGTGTCAAGGAAAGGGGCTAACACTTCCTCGCATGCATTCAGGGTGGGTGAGACAAGATCTCAATCTGTGTGTACGACACCACCTCCACTGTCAATCACTCCATGATAAACCAATATGCTCAACAGTACTTCCTATTACTCTCAACACACAGTCTTTTTTTTTTTTTTTAAAAGATTTTATTTATTTATTTGACAGGGACAGATCACAAGTAGGCAGAGAGGCAGGCAGAGAGAGAGAGAGAGGGAAGCAGGCTCCCTGCTGAGCAGAGAGCCCGATGCGGGACTCGATCCCAGGACCCTGAGATCATGACCTGAGCCGAAGGCAGCGGCTTAACCCACTGAGCCACCCAGGTGCCCCTCAACACACAGTCTTAGGTGGGATGGAAGATTTGTGTGACGAAGGCAATCAGAGAACGAGTGAAGGATTCAAATTATGGTAGATTTTACTTACAGCATTTAATAGTAATAGTAATAGTAATACAATGGCACCTAAATTACCAATGTGAAAATTATACAGTGAGCCTAGGCTTTCAACCAGGTAAATGAATTAAATTATAGGCCATGTCGACTACCTGGAAGTTAAATCATCTTGAAAATATTTTTAACAGCCCAAACAAATAATTCTGATTAAAGATCCAAGCACTGAACTAACCACTCCAAACAAAATAGTTTTTAAAATGTTATGAAAATGGTTATCTTCTCAGGCAGAATTACAAAACCGTTAAACAATTCTATTTCTTTCAATGAGCTAAATATGCTCCATGTACACCCCAAAATGTAGTAAACTCAGTTGGGTAGTAGGAGCCTCTTGCTCAAAACAGTTACTCAGGGACACACAGGTCACAGGGAGAGGATGACGGACCAGTTTTAAATGCAAACAGTAATATAAAGAAAACTACCCAAAAAAATCCCAGGGCCAAATGATTTCAACCAAACCTTTAGAGAATTAATACCAACTCCTCACAAATTCTAAAATAGAGGAAAACACCTACCAACTCCATTGAACGAGGCCAAATATTACCCGGATATCAAAATGAGACAGAGAAACATATAAGAAAACGATAGATCAGTATCAGATGCAAAAATCACAACAAATACTATCAAACCAGGGCACCTGGGTGGCTCAGTGGGTTAAAGCCTCTGCCTTCGGCTCAGGTCATGATCCCAGGGTCCTGGGATCAAGCCCCCCATTGGGCTCTCTGCTCAGTGGTGAGCCTGCTTCCTCCTCTCTCTCTGCCTGCCTCTCTGCTTACTTGTGATCTCTGTCTGTCAAATAAATAAATAAAATCTTAAAAAAAAATACTATCAAACCAAATCCAACAATACATTAAAAATATCATTCACCACAATTAAGTGATGGATTTATTCCCAGATGCAAGGGTGGTTCAATATTCACAATCAATCAACATGATACATCACATCAATAAAAGAAAGGATAAAAGCCATATGACTATCTCAATAGATGCAGAAATAGTATTTAACAAAGCACAACATCCAGTCATAATAAAAGTCCTTAATAAGGTAGGTTTAGAAGGAATATACCTCAACATAATAAAGGCCACAAATGAAAACCTACAGATATCATTATACTCATAAGGGAAGAACTGAGAGCTTCTCCCCTAAGGGCAGGAGCAAGACAAGGATGTCCACTCTCACCACTTTCGTTCAAAATAGTACTGGAAGTTGTAGCTATAGCAATTAGACAACAGAAAGAAAAAAGGCATCTGTAAGGAAATAGTAAAACTTTCACTATTTGTAGATGACATAATACTATATATGGAAAACCCTAAAGACTCCACCAAAAAACTACAAGGACTGATAAATGAATTCAGTCAAGTCACAGGATACAAAGTTAATGTGTAGAAATCTGTTGTGTTTCCATATGCTGATAATGAAGCAGGAAAAAGAAAAATTATGAAAACAACCCCATGTACAACTGCACCAAAAATAATATGATACCAAGGAATAAACCTAACCAAAGAGGTGAAAGACCTATACCCTGAAAATTACAAAACACTGATGAACACTGATAAATTGAAGATGACACCAAGAAATGGAAAGACACTCCATGCTCATGGACTGGAATAACAAACACTGCTAAAATGTCTGTAATACCCAAAGCAATCTACGCATTTAACACAGTCCCTATCAAAATACCTATAGCATTTTTCACAGAACTAGAACAAAAAAATCCTAAAATTTATATGGAGCCACAAAAGACTCTGCATAGCCAAAGAAATTTTGAAAAAGAAAAACAAAACTGGGGGTATCACAAGTCCAGACTTCAAATTATATTACAAAACTGTAGTAATCAAAACAGTATGATACTGGCACAAAAACAGACACATAGATGGAATGGAATAGAAATCAATGGAATAGAACAGAAAACCCAGAAATAAACCCACGGCTACATGATCAATTAATTTTCAACAAAACAGGAAAGAATATCCAATGGGAAAAAGACAGTATCTTCAACAAATGGTATTAGGAAAACCAGACAGCCACATGCAAAAGAATAAAACTGGATTACCTTCTTTCACCATACACAAAAATATATTCAAAATGGATTAAAGACCTAAATGTGAGAACTGAAACCATAAAAATCCTAGAAGAGAGAGCACAGGCAGTAAATTCTCTGACATTGGCCATAGCACCATTTTTCTAGATATGTTTCCTGAGGCAAAGGAAACAAAAGCAAAATTAAATTAATGGCTCTACATCAAAATAAAAAACTTCAGCACAGCAAAGGAAACAATCAGCAAAACCAAAAAGCAACCTACAGAATGGGAGAAGATATTTGTAAATGACATATCTGATAAAGGATCAGAGTGTGCGTGTGTGTGGGGGTTATATATATAAACAAAAATGTACATTCTTTATATCTCATATATATATTACATATAAAGATCATACACAACTCAACACCCAAAAAGCAAATAATCCAATTAACAATAGGCAGAAGACATGAACAGACATTCCTTGAAATAAGACATCCAGCTGGCCAATAGACACACAAAGAGATGCTCCAACATTACTCATTATCAGGGAAATGCAAATCAAAACTACAGTGAGCTGTCACCTCACACCTGTCTGAATGGCTAAAATCAACAACACAAGAAACAACAGGTGTTGACAAGGATGTGGAGAAACAGGAACTCTCGTGCCCTATTGGTGGGAATGCAACTGGTGTAGCCACTGTGAAAACGGTATGGAGGTCCCTTAAAAAGTTAAAAATAGAACAACCCCATGATCCAGCAATCACACTACTGAGTATCTACCAAACAAAAAATAGAAAACCAAAAACACTAATTCAAAGGGATACATACATCCCTATGTTTATAGCAGCATTACTTAAAATAGCCAAATCACAGAAGCAGTCCAAATGTTGCGCGCGCACACACACACATCTCTCTCCACACTGGAATATTATTCAGTCATAAAAAAGGATGAAATCTTGCCATTTGCAATGACATGGATGGAGGCAGAGTGTAATGCTGAGTGAAAGAAGTCAGAGAAAAACAAATATGATCTGATTTCACTCATGTGGAATTTAGGAAACCAAAAAAACAAAAAAACAAACAAAAAAACCCCCTACAAAACACGAGCAAAGGAAAAAAAAAGAGAGAGAGAGAGAGAGAGAGAGAGAGAGAGAAACCAAGAAGTAGACTCTAAACTATACAGAACAAACTGACGGTTATCAGAGTGGAGGGGGTGAAGGGGCTGGGTGAACTAGGTGATGGAGATTAAGGAGGGCACTTGTTGTGATGAGCACTGGGTGATGTGTGGAAGTGTGGAACCACTATATAGTATACCTGAAACTAATACAACATTGCACATTAACTACACAGGAATTCAAAATAAAATTGTAAAAAGTTACAACAAACTTCAAAGTGGTTAAATTTTAAATACCTTTGCTAGGTATGTTGGGATGTCTGACAAAAAGTATTATTTTTTTTTAAATTTTTTTTAAAGATAAAAGTATTATTATTACTACTTTTATCAGGGTTAGAACAACTCAAGAGTGGAATAATAACAGAGTTCTAACTTTAATTCTCAAATCATTTAGAACATGCCCTGACTTTGAAAATTCAAATATATAGTTGAGATAATAAAAAACACTCAACTCAGGTTTACTTATGGGATTTCTATAAACTTCACTATATTTTCGTCACCATCTGTTTTACCATTTTTAAGAAAGCTAAGTTTAAGACTCCACAATAGGATAAATGTTTCCAAATTGTGTATGAGCATTCACAGTGGCTCCTAAGACCTTGAATCAAGAAAATTATCCATTTCTGATTAAAATCTAAAACTCATTATGATTCATAATGCTTAAAATACAAAGTAGCATCTCTCTTTGAAACCTTGGTTCCAACTTGCAATGCATAGTAGTAGTTGTCCTTATTCTGACAGTTTGATGAAAACTGACACAGAGCTAGAGGCACCTGGGGTAGCACAGTCGGTTAAGACAAAACTCTTGGTTTTGTCTCAGGTCATGATCTCAAGGTTATGAGATCCAGCCCTGCCTCAGGCTCCGAGCCCAGCACAGAGACCGCTTAAACTCTCCCTCACCCTCTGCCCCTCCCCGCTAGCATGCTCGCTCTGCTCCCTCTAAAATAAATAAATCATAAAGAAACTCTATAGCAATTACTTTCCCAACAGAGTAACTGCACTTACGTCAACGTCCTCTTGTGTGAAAGTTTCTGGATCTTCTCCCATCATGTTGGCTAAATGTCTCTTTCCTATGTTGAACTCTTCAATTTGCTTTTTAATAAAATCCACTGTGTAAGTTTCACGTCTTAAGGCTGCAATATTTTTCTTTGTTGTTACACCTGTGGTGTGCCTTAGCCTTAATATCTAGCAAAAAATATAAACAAAAAGAGAAAAGATTTTAAATTAAAGAATTATCTTTAGGTCACCACCTCTAAATAAAACAGGATGTTCAAACAGTTCTCTTTATTTTAGTACTCAGTTGGCAAGAGTCTGGAAACAGGTAAAAAGGATTGTTAAGAAAGCCACTGGAAATTGTACTCCACTCAAAAGCTTGCTTTTAAAAGCCTCTGCTTACAGTTTAAACTACTGGCATTTCAACACATTAAAACCCCCAAAACCCCAAATATGTAAGTGATATGCTACCTCCTTATCTACTACAAACATCCACATTTGATACCGCTTGGCCAATGTCAACCAGTTGTGATATTTGACACACAGGCAATGAAAAGTAAAATGACACTCCCTCAAAAAGAGGCAAATGCACGTGCAGACAGAACCAAGCAGGCAGAAGACAAGAGAAGGAAGCAGCATGTACTGGGGGACGGCACACTTTGGCTATTGGTAGTCACCTTGTTGTAAAGTACAAACATGGCCCATCTTTCTGGGCCTTAAAATAATAGTTTAGCTTAGCTTGAGACTATTCTGTGGTCCTTTAAGTTGATACAGTGAAGAAACCACTTCACTAAGCACTGACAAGATTTATCTTAACTTGGTTCAATACACTAATTTACAGAAATAAGGGCTTTCCCATCCTTTTAAACTATCAGTAATGATATCACAATTGCTGCTGTTGATCCTTTTATGCTGTAGCACCAGGAATTTCCCCTCAAGGCATTAATAGTTCACCTACAATAAAGGGTGCTAAAGAACCAGAAAAATGTTTTCAAATGACTGTTCAGCCACATTCAGTGGCTGGATATAACTAGAACAGATATTTCTGGTCCTGGCTTTCCTCAAAATCTTAATCTGTGGTTCTCTACTTTCATCCCAGCCTCAACAATTTTAAACACTCTTAAGCAATTCAGACCTTAAGAACTATAATTCTTAGTAACTCCTTCACTTTCCTTTTTATTAACATAAATTTTCTCTGGCACATACCATCACCAACACCATCCCTGCCTCATCCATTCCCTGACCCTTTGAGAACCAGAGATTTAAGTAACTAATAATTTGTCACCACAGTAACAATAAAAAGCAGAAGAAAAAAATACAGGATAAATATTATAATAACCTACTAATAGTAAAAATTATGTTCTTAAGGGACGCCTGGGTGGCTCAGTTGGTTGGACGACTGCCTTCGGCTCAGGTCATGACCCCGGAGTCCCAGGATCGAGTCCCGCATCGGGCTCCCAGCTCCACGGGGAGTCTGCTTCTCTCTCTGACCTTCTCCTCGCTCATGCTCTCTCTCACTGTGTCTCTCTCAAATAAATAAATAAAATATTTAAAAAAAAAATTATGTTCTTAAATGCTCACAAATCAAAACAGTGATAAAATGATTTGTTACTTTTAAATAAGATAGGGCCATTTAAAATTCCATGAAACCATATAGTTTATTTTTCCTCAGGGGAGCACAAAGAATTTTCTCTCTTTATATTATTAATCAAGAATCTTTTTTTAAGATTTTATTTATTTATTTGAGAGACAGAGAGGGAGCACGAGCAGGAAGAGGGTCAGAGGGAGAAGCAGGCTCCCCGCTGAGCAAGGAGCCTGATGTAGGACTTGATCCCAGGACCCTGGGATGATAACCTCAACTAAAGGCAGATGCTTAACTGACTTGAGCCATCCAGGCATTCCATTAATTGAGAATCTTAAGATGCTTTATAAATATACAGTGTCACTCTCAATTAGTAAAACACGACCCCAACTTGCTTACGTACAGTGAGCCTGCCCTATTACAGCGTCTTTGTACACCCCTGCTACCTTTCCCCACTGCCAGTGCCAACAGCACCAAATCCTCATTATGAGTTTTGCCATCTTACTATATTTTTACTTTTTCCAGGGTTTGCTTTTTTTTTTTTTTAATGATTTCGTGTTTTCTTTGAACATGGGAAGATGTTGCTTCCCGTGTTCAAAGTGAAGAGAAAATGCCTGTCTGCCCCCAAGAATCGTGGCAAAGCTGTGGATTTGGAGGAGAAAGCTACTGTCACTCGGTAGAGGTGATTTTCCCCAATGTTCCCCTGCCAAAAGGATGATTACGAGGCTGGTTTTGTAAGTCATATGACAAAAATGTTTTTGTCCACAACTAAAAGAACCCATTTGTAACACAGGTGAGCCTACTACACTTTTCACCAATCACCAACTACAGCCCTCAGGAGAAATGAGTCTCCCAGTGAATACGGGAGACTTCCCCTCACTGAAGTAATGAGCTCTAAAGGAAGAGTAAGATTAGGAGGAAAGTGATGAGTTCAATTTGGGGCATGAAAAGTTTGAGATGCTTGATGGGCATCTCGGGAGATATAGACGTCCTCGAGGCAGATGGCTCTGTGGTTGTGTACACAGGAGAGATTGGAGCTGGAGATGCCGTCTTGTTAATAATCAGCATGGGACATGATGTGACACCATCTAAGTAGGGGAAATGGCAGGCATTAGTGTTAGAATAAGAAACATCTATTTTACTAGGCAAAGAAACAACACAGTTTGTGAGGGAAAGCATAATATTACTTATGTATTATGGCCATAATTTTTATGAAACAGAACAAGAGATGGGTCTGCAGAGTTAAGTGGGGGGACAGGTTTGATGGACTGAATACTTCATATTCAAAGAGCGATGATACAATGGTTGTAAAGTAGACAGAACAATTAAAGGAAGAAAATAAGAAAAAAAATTTAAGCACCCCTTTATACTGGATGTGGGCCAGGAGAATAATACCAAAAAAACAGTTATGAATCTATATTCATACAAAAGCTATAATATTTTATTAATTTTCTTCCTGTTTCCTATATATTTCCTTTGTATGTTTCAGTGGTACATTCAATGTACTAATTAGTTCAGAAGAGTTCTATCATAAGGCAAATTGTACCTTCAAATTATAAAGTGTTCCATTCTCAGGCAGTACTTTTACCTTGAATTTAATTGCTGAATCACAATATTGCAACCCTTTCAAACTTCTCTTTGCCTTTTCCTGGAATATCACTGCCCATATTTTTCATTTAAATTTTGAATCACTTCAGGTTTTGAGTCAATCTGACTTTTTTAATACATGAGAATATCCTATTTAAATGGACTTAATAGATACTGTCTCATTTTTTCATCTTATTTTGTCTTTATTGTTTTTATGTTTTCATTCCTGGTTTCTTTCTTTTGCTAGATGGTCTATAGTTTTTTTATACTTGTCTTTTGATCCGGCAATTTAAATACCAAACAGCCTACTTTGATTTTAATAATGATCACCTATATGTCTCTTAATAAAATGTTTAAATTATTTCTCCTATCAACTTCAGAAAGTAATACTCACTGAATTCTCACTTATTGTTTACTTCTTCGACCACAGAAATTATCTATTTTTCTGTCCTCCAACCATATCAGCTTCTCTCAGTTTTATTTCTCATGCCTTTGTTCTGCATCCTGTATGATTTTTAAACCTTTACTCCTTGGGTTTTTTGTTTTCTGCAGTGTTAATTCTGCAGTCACTCTGAATTTTTAGCTTCTTAAATCACTGGTCTATCTCCAAAAATCTTTCCTTAACCGTTTCCTTAATTGTATCTTGTCTTATAACCTGTTTCATATGGCTCTCCCTCACCCAACCTTTTAAGAATGTCCCTGACAGTTATAGTAAAATAATTCTTCCATTTTGTTGAGTAAAATTCCTTTGTGTTTTCTTCATCTCTCTCTCCCACACTGTTCCTTTTCTTTTGTTCCAATAACACTTTAGTATCACCTCAAGCAAGAGAGTTGATTATTGCCTTGAGGATTCATTTCTTCACTTGATTTAAAATTATCTTGTATCTATATTCTTCAGACTTTGTGACATGTGGTGGTTCTTAGTTTTAATATAAATGAGGTTTAAAAAACTGTAAATTTTTTTTATTGTTCACTTCAGAAAGAGGTGTTGGTTTTTTTTTTTTGTTTTTTTGTTTGTTTTTTTTTAAAGCCCCCACTTTGCTATTTTTCATAAAATCTCTTTAGGATCTTTAGGATCTTTTCAAAGACATTTGTATACACCGCCGGAGAATATGACACTCTGGAAATTCCTATTTATTATAAAGCCATCACAGCATCAATGCCAGACTATTGGATAGATTTATAAATGTTCTAAATTATTCCAGCAATGCTTCACACAAAAACATTTACATTCAAAAGAGTCATCATTCATTAGTACAATGCATTAAGTAAGGTGAGGCTGAATGTGAATCAACTAGATCTTTAGCTCGGAAGAGCCACAATTCCTGGAGAGAACATGCTTTGCTGATTAAGTACAAATCCCCAACAAAATTTTCTACAGGTTCTACTTCCAACTGAAAAGCGATGACTGCGAATTTTTCCCACACTTTGTTTTTAGGGACTGGTATAGATACAACTTGACAGACTGGCTTCTTTTTTAAGGTAATCAGTGGGTCAGACAACTATAATTTCAATCAAGCAGGTTGCCAAAGAAGCAGACACATCCTGACAGAGCAGTGATGTTCCAAGTTTGGCCAAATGCCAGTGCCACACACTACTTTAATGATATCACGAGTAGTAAGGAGTTTCCTTTTTGTTCAATTGGATAAAAATGGAACAAAGAAGAACTGCTGCTAATTTGAATAGAAATGGCAAAAGAAAAAATACTTTGAGGAATAAAAAAAAAAAAAAAAGTAAAGATCCCAGGACCCTGAGATCAGGACCCAAGTGAAGGCAGATGCTTAACCAACTAAGCCACCCAGGTTCCCCCATGTTGTTTTTTTTCCCCTTTTAAAAACTGCCTGTTAGAGATGCACATTCAAGTTGTGTGTGTGTGTGTGTGTGTGTGTGTGTGTGTGTGTATACAGGGAAATGTGAGATTTATATGAAAGCTCACAGGAAAAAAAGGGAGACAGATGAAACAGGATTGGAAAACAGTTACAATTATTGAAGTCGGCTGACTTATACACAGGGTTCATTATAG